ATAATAGACTATATATACAATCTCTCTATCCACCACGCCCTCATTCGCGATAGATACTATATATATATATATACTGTTTTGGGGGTCCTGTAAAACGGGCTTGTATAAAACACACACACTCACATGATTTGTGTTGTACACCTATTTGTCTATATATATATATATATATATATATATATATATATATATATATACTTTGTACAAAGGAGAATGGACTACATATGTTGATTTTAATCCTTATTGACCCCTTTATTGATTTTAGTCCTTTATTGATATATATGTAGTTGCAAACTACGAAAAACTCTTCCTATGCTACAAATGTACACCAAGTCAATTATACGCTCCATGGGCATTCTTTTCTTTTTTCTTTTTTTTTCCCTTTTGCTAAAATTGAGGTTATTAGACTTAACTGTAACGAATTGTAACTGTTTGAAAGAATAAAAAAAAAAGTGTAACAAACGGAGAAATAATGATAATAATAACAATAATAATTAATAAATTATAATAATAAAAACAATACGCAATTAAAATCCACTGAGTTGTGAAGTAAGTCATAAACTAGTACCACCAAATTAGAAACAACTATGAACCTGTCGAGTTTATTGACACAATCATCCACGCGGCGTATATACGGTAGACCAGTGCAATGAACAGAACGAGTAAAAGTGTATGTGATCGGTAGCTCCCTTTCCAGGGCTGGAAAAAATAATATACTACAGGTCTGGACAGCGCTTTGCGTTTACCGCGTAACAGTAACGAAATAAGTATGCTTTAACCGCTCGCGCATGACAAACCTTTCGGTAACAGACGAGGCAGTTTTCAGACCCCAGTTGTAAAAGCATCGTAAGATTTGAATCGATTTAAGCGAGATGTTTTTTGAAAAGTTAAAGGAAAAAATTAACTGGCCTTACCGACTTCTTCGTTTGTGTGGTCACGATTGCCAGGGTAAGCACGCGCTGAATAAGCCATTACATTGGTAGGAAGCAAAAAAGAATAAGCAATAGCTCGTATGGCGTTTGTTTCGGTATTCATTACAAAGGAAAGACCACGCAGACTTCAACCCACTGAAAATGATTCACTTCACGCTCTTCACCGGTAATGTCACAGATCTATGTTTCGAGTTCGACTGAAAGTAAAATATCCCGAGAGCAATAGCCATTATTCAGCCACTTTGCTCAGTATTTGTGAATCTCTCAGTAACTGATTAGGTCTTTATGTATTGAGAATAAGTAGCTGACATTGTTATACATTTGTAATCATATTGAAATAAGGCAAATACAACAAACGTGAGCGATAAAAAAGGAACTACATAAAATTAAGCGTATACAAAGATTGCCTTTATTGTAAATAATTGCGTTCGTACACGATGATATTCTTAACACAAACGACGGCTATACAGCAATTTCACGGACTTAACTTTTTTGTACTTACGTATTTAGCTTATAAAACATTCTAGTAAATCACCAGCTTACCCTTAAAGGGACAGTGTCCCGATTATGCGCACGCGCGAGCGTCATCTGTTTTTTCTTCAAAAGACAATAGAACTGTCAAATTGACTCGACAAGATTTCCTTCCGGACCGCACCGCCGACAGAGATTTGTTGTTTATATTCTCAAGTAATATTTTAGACTTTCGAAGAAGTCTTTCTTCTCATATAAAAATTTGGCTCGCGGTTCGAAGACTCATCGCGATTTTATCGCTAACTGGCCGCCTCGCGACCCGAAAATCTCGTTCCGCTCGCATTAAAAACATATTTTCTAATCCGAAACTCGTGTCAGAGGTCAATCGTTCCAAGTCCAGTAATATCTGCCTGATTTGCTCGCGTTCTAGCCTCAAACGTTTGAAAGGCATAAAAAAAAATGCAATTTCAACGCTATGAATCATCACAAAGGTTAGTCAAAAATGATATTATGATTTCATGTCACTAGTTTTTCAAAACATGTAGCGCCTGTTTGTTCGATTTTGTCGGCCGTAGGGAGATTCATTTAAAAGTTCACTAACGCGTCGTTGCAAAACATTCTGCTTCACGAAGCTCCCCTTCACAAGATCTCCTCAGTCACATCAATGTCTCAACAGATTCTTTCTTACAGTCTTTATTGTTGCTGTTTCATTTCTGCGTATTCCTTTCACAATTATCTGAGCTTGTATGGAAGCTAGCAGAAGAAATAAGCCTTCAATCGGCATCAAAGTGCTTCCAATCTTTTGGTCCTCCGGCCAACGGCAATAAAGGTAACGCCAAAAAATCCAGATTTTGCCCAAATCGAAACTTAACAGGAACAATATATCATTGATCTATAATCCTGAGAAGTTTTAGTGTCGTATTGAACCCGGCCAAGCGCGATGCAAACGGATTTTTCAAGATTCTCTTACTCTCCTCGCATCTTTTGATTTCGCGACATCCTGTCCAAAACTCAAAGTTTGGTGCATGCGCAGTAACGGGATACTGTTCCTTTAACTAGTATATGTAATAGGACTACATGCTGTCCAATTTGGAAATAACTGGATGGAAAAAATTCCGAGGACAGCCAAAATTTTTTGAAATTCAATTATTTCCAAATTGGACAAGCATGTAGTCCTCTTACTTATTAATTATATGGCTGGTTAGTTAATCCAGATTTTTAGGGTAACACAGACGCGAAATATCGTACACTGTAACTCGAACCGTTTGTGGTTGAAACAGAAACACAGTACAAGATCTAAAAAAGGTTTATTCTTATGGTGTCATTCAACTTATTCTTTACAATAACAAACAAACCGGTAGAACTAGTATTGCTCTTTCATACTTTGGCATTTTGTTGCCAATTAAAATTTCGAAAGCTCCTTCACGGATCTGAATGATACAGTGCTACAGGTGAAAACCGCAATTTCGAGTACAAAGAAGGCAAAGCAACAACGCAAATACTTAATTTAAATACAAAAAACTGTTGAAAATGAAAATTTCATTCATTGCCTCAAACGGCTCCGCAGACTTTGTTCATTTGTTTTTGTAATGCCAACACTGTTGTCTAAACACAAGTATCAGTGTTTTCTTATTATTGTCCAAAGATTAGGTGCTTGTGCATTTTCAAGAATTTATGCGTTTATTGTTTCCGATACAAACTTTCATCAGTTTGGTCATACATTTTCCTTTTAAATGGCCCAGATAAGAAGCCAAAACAAAACTGCAGGAAAACAAAACAACATTCACAGCAACAAGAAGCCAAGAGTGTTCGCCGACGGATCGCCGTCAGCCAACGAGACTTGCTTTTGGCGAGTTGTCACCGGGACTTTGCGCTGATTGGCTAGTTTTCATTGCCTATTGTATTTTCTGTCATTTGATTGGCTCAGACCGGCTGTCCTATTTTTCTAAAATTGGACAGTTTGCCTAATTGTAAAGGAAAGCCCTATCTGAAACTATCCAAATTAATCCTTAATTGGACAGTTCGTAAAAACTAAAGGATATAATAGCTTTGCTGGCAATATCGGATTAACTAACAGCTATGTAATTAAAAGGCGAAAAAATGTTGATCATTTCGCCTAGTGCGTCAACATTACACTTTAAAGTAGCCACGGCTTTAACACAGGCCCTTTTAGCATAACGCCTTTGTAGGCTGTGGTCGATCGCCTCCTGAAAAGGCAACTCGCTGATTATTCCTGCTTCTTTGAAACACGTCATTATTTTGTAGTTGTTGCAGTTTAAGAAAGCAACGTAGCCCTCTACCGATAGCCAAGATAGCTACCAAAAACCTGTTTCATCACAATGTGTAGTACTACGTGAATACATGCCATGGGAAAGTTCGCCCGAGACGCGTAAATAAATGCTTGAGTTGAAGAAAAGGCGGGAGAACCCTGATAACCAAAGGCTAGATCGCAGGTTTTGTGATTGGGTTTTTAGTGCACCCTAAGGAAGTTGATTATTATAACAAAGCAATATTCAAATAGCCTTTTACTCATCTTTTGGAAATAGATTTGATACTTTTGAGGAGATAAACTATCGCAAGATACTGTGAAATAAAATAAAATAAAGTAAAAAAAAAAAAACTTGCTTACAGTCTTGTCTAACCAAACGTAAGTAAATCCATGGGGCTGTAATTTTTTGAGGCAGGTTTAGCATGCTAAATGTTCACTAATAACATCTGTGTGCAATTTGTGAAACTTTNAAGGAAAGCCCTATCTGAAACTATCCAAATTAATCCTTAATTGGACAGTTCGTAAAAACTAAAGGATATAATAGCTTTGCTGGCAATATCGGATTAACTAACAGCTATGTAATTAAAAGGCGAAAAAATGTTGATCATTTCGCCTAGTGCGTCAACATTACACTTTAAAGTAGCCACGGCTTTAACACAGGCCCTTTTAGCATAACGCCTTTGTAGGCTGTGGTCGATCGCCTCCTGAAAAGGCAACTCGCTGATTATTCCTGCTTCTTTGAAACACGTCATTATTTTGTAGTTGTTGCAGTTTAAGAAAGCAACGTAGCCCTCTACCGATAGCCAAGATAGCTACCAAAAACCTGTTTCATCACAATGTGTAGTACTACGTGAATACATGCCATGGGAAAGTTCGCCCGAGACGCGTAAATAAATGCTTGAGTTGAAGAAAAGGCGGGAGAACCCTGATAACCAAAGGCTAGATCGCAGGTTTTGTGATTGGGTTTTTAGTGCACCCTAAGGAAGTTGATTATTATAACAAAGCAATATTCAAATAGCCTTTTACTCATCTTTTGGAAATAGATTTGATACTTTTGAGGAGATAAACTATCGCAAGATACTGTGAAATAAAATAAAATAAAGTAAAAAAAAAAAAACTTGCTTACAGTCTTGTCTAACCAAACGTAAGTAAATCCATGGGGCTGTAATTTTTTGAGGCAGGTTTAGCATGCTAAATGTTCACTAATAACATCTGTGTGCAATTTGTGAAACTTTTAAAATAGTTAAATTACATTCACCCGCTACGGATGTTATATGTACTAACAGTTTAATTATTTATTAAACAAAAAATGGCAGTTATTTTTCTTGCCATGGTTGTAGCCTTATTAATGCCTTAGATATCCTAAAAGAATCCTTATCACGCGGCCTGTAGATTACTTTATTGTTTAGGGATATAAAATTTTAGATATTGGGTATTCAACATCTTAGCCTTGGGCAAATTTTTTTTTTTTTTTTTCAGCAGCCTTGCTTGCCCCTTGGTATGTCTCGGTCATTGTTACAGTGCATGCTTTTGTTGCTGATTATGGAGTTTGTCGAAATACTGTGAAACGCTTAACGTCTCCCTAATTCACTTAGCCACCCGAACCACTATTAATAGAGACTAAAGGTCTTAATGTAGGCCTCAGTGTGTATTTCTTCTTACCCTCGTCTAGGAACCAAGTCCTTCCATTTAAAAAGCAACTCACTGAAGAACAAACGATACTTTCCAAATCTTTTTTCAAAAACGATGGGATCATCATCTGAGACTCTCCAGCATTCTAAGGAATAACCTTGAAATAGCCAGTAAGTTATCCTACAGATGTTGTGATGCGGGTCCTGCATGATCTTCTCAATTCCTTTTTCATAAGCATCAGCTCGTTTCATCCAATCTTGAGTAAAGATGAGTTTACCATTTTTTGGACAGTAACCTCCCCAAAGACTAGGATCCTGTAAACAGGAGCAAACAATTAGTGTACCTGTGTCTTATAAATAATTGAGAAAACTAGCCCTCCACTTGGAGGTTACGAAAGAGAAAACCAGTTGAGACGCTTCGGGTGCATTTGAAAACAAACGTTCCCTCGGTTTGCCTGAAGTATACACAGCCATAACTTAAAAGAAATGTAATGATATTCATCGCAGTGACGACATGCTAATGAGTATTATCATTTATAACATTTCTTAAATGTAGGCATCCACCCTTCATAAATATCAGTTCAACCGCCCCTGAAGATGTCATTAGCATGATGCATGTGACGCCTACTTGACCCTAAAAGACTGCCAATGAGGGTCTATAAGAAACATAATGTCGCCCTTCACAGGATAGTGGCCGGTTTATTTGCATTCTTAGAAACGGCTGAGGTCTGCTTTCGTGAGAGATGTATGTAATAGAGACTAGTAATAAAGAAATCAGATAAAATCTACAACTTAAGCACCTTCAACTTAGGAGTCTCGAACAAAAATCCCCCCTTTCTTCATCACGCGCTTACATCACCACCAGTTTTAGCAATAAAAGACCTATACTCTGTCCTCTTGCCAGCAATCTCTAAAAAAGTGTCACGAAGTCAACATGATTCCGAAAACAAATTAATGTTTCTTCTTCTACAACAGCCTAGGTCCACTACCAAAGCTAGCTTAGCTTACAGTTTCAAAAAACAAACACGGTAAATTGTTTTAACCCAGGAGTCATGTCATAAGTAAGTGGAATATAATCGTCTGGGTGAGTGTAGTTCTGAATAGGACTGCTTTTAAAAGTGACTGACATTTCGACAGCCTGTGCGGTAGTCATATTCAAGGTCAAAGTGAGTTGCATCACGTCAATGGTATAAAACCCTCAGTATTGACCTAAATGGTCAATTAATTCGCTTTGTTATTGATCGTCTGTCAGTTAAGCCATAGTGTTATTGGCATGATGAAGACTCTAAATGTGAGTGGTGAGTTTTGATCCGCCTTTGTCAAATTGATACTGAACACTTTATTTATTGTTAGTCAAATTGTTGGGTTTTACAGTCACTCTATTGTTGTCAGTTTTGCTTGATTCCGTCAATACAATGTAAGTCGTTTGCACGCTTCGGCTAACTCCCGGGGGGGGGGGGGGGACTGCCCAAGTTTTCAGGGAGTTTTCTTTGGGGATGGGGGTAAAAAAAAAAACAATTTGGGTTTAGTTTGGGGTATATTTTTTAGGGAAACTTTTTGGTTTTTTAAAGTTTTTTTGGTACTAGGGAAAAAAGCAATCTCTGTATGGGGGGAGTTTAAGGGAAAGACCAAAGTGCCGGGGGGGGGGGGGGGGTACTGCCATAGTTTTCAGGCAGTTTACTCTAGGATAGGGTATATAAATCAGAACATTTGGGTCTAGATTAGGGTATCATTTTTCAGGAAACTGTTTAGTTGTTTGAAGATTTTATCGAGACTAGGGAAACAGCTACTCTAGGATAGGGGGGATTTGGAGAGTTTACTCTAGCATAGGGTAGCAAAATTTAGCTGAACTAGCTCTGGTATAGGTTAAGGGTTCCAGGGTCTCAGCGGCACATCCCCACCCAGAAATTCCTAAAGTACCCCCCGGGGGCTAAGTGCCGAATTCAATTCAGGAGCGTTTGTTCTAAGTTAGTAAACCAGCTTTCTAAACTAAGTCGCAGGGTGGTAGCCTTTAGAAAAGGCAATGCATTTCGCTGAGTCTCCATCGATGTGGTGGTACATGGTGTTCAGCATGGTTTGTTTGAAACAGGTGTGCTATAACGTTATATTAGGGTTAGATAGTATTGCATTGTACACCTTATGACTATACAATTATACACTGGTACGGTCCTGTTCAATTTGTTCTCACCTTTTCTGCAAGATGCTCTTCCCGGATACGCAGCAATTCTTCTCTTGCTTCTGCCAGTGTTCTTTCTTTACCTCTTTGTTCAATTTCCTCTCGTTTTCTCATCTGGTTTCGCTCCGCTTCCCACTTTTCCTGCCTTAGATCTTCGTCTTTATGCCACGTTTCCTTGAGGGCTGTAGCTGCTTCCCTGAACTCACTTCCAAGATCTTCAATTAATTCCCAGATAGGTATATAACTTGTGCTGGGGCCACGGTCAATCAAAGCCCAAGTGGAGCTGTAGGAGAGCAACTTTTGGAAAGTAGCCGGATTTGTTGCTAGGGGTCCTATAGACCTTACAGAATGGGAAAACCTCTCATTCTGGATGGCTGTAAATGTCTCTTCAATGTTTTCTTCACTGTTTGCGTGCTCTTCAGTACCACTGGCTCCAATCCTCAGTGCTCCGCCAAGAAATGCAACGGCAGCCTCTGTCAGCTTAAATATATCTGTGGGCTTGAATATATCTGTGGTGCTTTTACTTTCGGCATCGGCAATATTAAAAAACACGCCGCCCAGAGTGTGCAGCCCAGCTGGAAAATGGCTTCCGTAGCGTTCCATAAAGGTGCGAGCAGATTGTTCACACTCCATTGCCCTGGGGTTTTTATCCAGGACAATCGACTTGGCCTTTTTCTTAGCAGTCAAGGAAAGGCGAAACTGGTGTGGCTCGATTTGGAAAACTTTTTTGGCTATGCGAATGTACTGTAGAGCAGATGCACTGGTGCTGGAAGATTTTTCACACTGAGAAACGAGACTGTTGTCCTCATGGCTGTTTTCATTTGGCACCTCCCCAACGAAAAACTCTTCGAAACCAGCCACACCAAAACCAATGTTGGTGCTTGTTGACTCAACTGCCCGTACGTAGTCTGTAGCTATTCCCTTTGCAGAGAATTTCAAGTAATTTACTTCTTGAGCACTGTTAGGATTGTTTAAGGTCACAGTCATTGGCACCAGAAGCAAAGGAATTCCAGCTGGCTTTGGAGACTCGTATTTGGAGTAATAAATTCCACAAAGGGCTCTCCCAGCGCTGGCCCTACTAACAATTTCCACTTCACTTTTGTATGCGTCAGCAGATTCTAAAACATCGCTGCACTGCTTAATGATTTTATCCAGATACTGAAACAATACCGCTGGTTTTACTTCATCCTCCCTTAGCCAATCTATAGGAAGCTCTAGAGTGCTCATGATCAAAGCCAATGTTTCGTTTAATGTTTTCTTTGATGACTCTGATTGCTCTTTAGCAATAGCTTTTGCTTCGTTCAGTAACTCTTTGGCTTTCTTCAGCGTTTTCAATTCTGCCGCTTTTGTTTCCATGGCTTGTTGAATAAGTTTGTCGTCATTTGGAATGGTAGCGAGTAGATTCTTGGTTGATTCTGCTTCCTCTACAAGTTGATAAACCTTTTTCATTTCTCCTTCATCGGCTCCACGGCAGCAGTCCTCCAGCTCTTGCAATCTCAGCCTTGTAAGTTCCTGAAGAGACGAAACTCTCTTACAGAGGTTCTTCGCCCATTCTTTTGTGACATCAATAGCTTTAGTACTAAGTCCGTTAATTACTTCATCGTCAGATCTCTTCTTTGCCATATTAGGAATCTTCTATGAAAATGAAAAGTTGGTTTTAATCAGTTGGAGTAATGACTTTATTGTCTATTAACAGAAAAAAACTGAGACTGAAACAAGTTAAAGCTTTAGAACATTGGTTGCACCGAACTGACGATTAACCAAAGAAATTATCGCCGCTATGGTTATTTCAAACAAATCCTTTTCATAACGGTTAACATTTACATAACAGGGTTCTATCTAGGATATTTGAGGGGTAGAAGCTTCCCCCCAAAATTCCCAGTTTCCCCCCCAAAATATTGTTATCATTACAGTATATAAGTAACTATGTCAGAAAAATCATCCAGACGTGACGAGGTCAATGCAGATGAAGTAAGTATTCCCTGTTGAAGGACACTATATGACGAGGAACATGGAGTATTTTTATTTTAAAATAAAATACCACTGTAACATTTCTCAAAATTGTGTCTCACAATGCACCAGATTGCATCTCAACACAAATTCATTTCCAAAAATTTCCGGGAGGCGTCATGCCCCTGGACCCCCCTAGGAAACTCGTGGCCAAGGCCACTAGTTACTTCTCCCCCAAACGATAAATCCAAGACAGAACCCTGCATAACTGCTCTCGATGGGTGATGAAACAGCACGGTCTACTTTATATAGAGGAGCAAATCCAGGACATACACAAAACACGTGAAATTAAGTGAAATTGTATGTGTGGTAGCCTTGTGCTATTTTAATTTGTAGCAAAAATTGCGAGGACAATTACCTCTTACTTTACTTTCTAGGTGAACTTGTTTCTTTTTAAAATTATTAACCTCATCAACCGCAACGTTTTGAGCCTCACACGTAGAATTGATGGTACATCTAGAAGAGTTAGTAACAATACAAGTTCCGCCATTAAAGTGTGTATGTATTAATACTGGCAAAATATATATTTACCATTTTTTATCCGCAGGAATAAGGACGTGAATGAATGCATAGATTCAAAAATAGATAGATAGATAAATACCTTATTTAGCACAGAATTAAAAAAGAACACTTATTTCCAATACAGCCGTATATCAAAAGTTAAAATTATAGAAAAATAGTACAACTAAAACAAATTCTAATTACAAAAGTTGAAGATAATAACAACTAGAAAAATTAAGTAAGGCTAATGATAAATAGGTTTCAGTAAAATTCAAAAGGAATTGGACTAAAATCTACACATATCGGACCAAAAGCTGGAATGAAATGATCTAACTGAGCTAGTCTCTTATACGGTTTGGCAATTTCGTTATAAATCGTTAAAGTCATGAAAAATCGATGATATCGAATTGGCACAGTAATTCTTTCTATCAATTTTCACCTATTTCCGTTATCAATCGATAAAAATCACTTGATACGTTTTGTTCGGAATATTTGCTGAATCTAACACTTAATCCGCAAACACCTTCCAAATATGCTAACAGGAGTTTTTCTGAAGCAGCTTTTTGCTTCATTCAATGTTATTCACGCCAAAAGTCTTATTTATCAAATAGGAAAGATGTCAAACTGCGAAAAGAACCCAAGCCCTTCAAACGCACGGTAAGGGAATAAATAAAAAGGGAAATTGACGTTTTAAGGTCTATTCAGATACCAAGAGAGATAAACTGTAAAAGAAACTAGTCCTCTTCATTCAAAGACTCTAAGTTTTTATCCACTCATTAGCTATAAATCAGTTTTTAATAGTAAACAAAATGTTCTTTCAACGCTTTCGAGTAGTCACAAGATGCAGCACAAGCTATGCAAAGATTCAGTCAGATATACTGAAATATTTTGTCAATTGATCATGAATACTCGTGTCTAAGTTTGATATTTCAGTCCTTTAATATATACTGTCTTCGATAAGATATCGACTGCTATTTCAGGAACTCTTCGATGAAATGGACAACAGAACACGATGTCTTGTTGTGAAAAGAGGTTATGTTGTTCGAACCGTGGAAATACAAATTAGGAAGCCGTGAAAGAGGAAAGTGCGTCGACCGAATTGCTGAAAGCCTGAATCAGTGCATCAATGTGTCACAAAAGTCGATCAGAGACAGACTAGTCGGAGAAATTCCGATAAAACAGTTGAAGAAAAAGCTTCCGCCGAAGAAATGCGAATCAAAGCCATGGAACGTCTTGGTGAGACAAAGAAAAGAGTAGCAGATCATCAACCGCGGAAGAAAAGAAAACATACACGGAGAAGGAATGTGAGCTGAAGAAAAAAGAACTAGAGTTTAGAAACAAACAAGAAGAAAGGGTATCGGCACAACAAAACCTGATGTTTCAACAACAGCAAGAAATATCCAGGCAATTTCAAGACCAGTTGAAAAATCAACAACAGAAGTTCCAGATGATGTGTCAAATGTTTAATATGCAGCAACAACAATAACAAAGCCAAGCACTACTTGAACTGTTGAAAAAGGGACATTGAATTCACTAAGTTGATTTTGTTATTGTTTTTATTATACATACAAAGCTAGATTTTCGCTTTGCCGCCTAAGTTTAACTTATTTAACTTACTACGAGTATTACAAAAATTGTGCAAGCCTGCTTTGGATAATGAGGTTTTTTTACCATCTCTACTGGAATTTTTACGCAGCCGTTATTCATCAATGCTTTGGTTCTAATGTCCAAAATTTGATAAATCATGAAACGTTTTATTTTGAAGATGTATCCTGATGTATGTCCTTGCTTGTGTAATCCCTTTAACGTTTTATCGTTGCTAATAATTAAATAAAATAATCATCTAAAGTTGGTGGATTGATACCAAAGTACTCTGAGGTAACAGAACCATATAAAATAGTGTGGGCGTTTTCCATCAAGGCACAAACTATGTACATTTTACCCACAGCACTTAAACCAACTTTAAGATTCTTTTTACAATTCAAAAATTTGAAACAGTTGATTATATCATTAAAAACCCATTCAACTGAAACACGGGCACTGCTCATAGATTTGTTAAATTCTTGATGTAGTGTCAACACTGCTCCCTTAAAAGGTCCCTGTAAGTGTGCTCTAAGAGGGTATGCCGGGTCGCCGTACACACAGATAGGTAAAACAGTAACTGGTGAATTATAAAATTTTTGCAGGTCTTGTAAAAGTCCAGAAGAGGCCAGCATACCACTGTCGTGACGTTGACCTTCTACTGGACCATATAAATGACCAACCAGCCCATTAGGCAACGCCACTGATTAGAATTTTATGGAATGTACTCTTTTATGCCCTTTATAAATGGCTCTCTGATTTTCTCCTGGCCGCACTGTTCCATCAATAAACCCCCAGCAGTTTTCCAAAGCTTCGCCTGATCGATATATCGCATCAGGATACCACATAAGATTTGCCGGGGAAAGCAGGTCATGATTGTACCTTGAGAGTAAGTGATGCTAACGGTTATAGATCCAGTCAATCATGTGGTTTATAATAATAGAAAGTTCCGAAAGAGGTCTAGCAAAGTTTGAAACCAAGTCCCCGTAACTGCAAGGATACGGAAAGCGCTTGAGATAGATACATAAAGTAGGAATCAATCCAACCACTAGGCCGTTGTAAGTAACATTTTCATCTGGTAACTGAAGATATTCAGCAAGCTTGAAAATGTCATTCTTGTAAAATCGGAATTCAGCTTTGCACTGGTCATTTCCCAGCTCGTCTAAATCGAATCGATCAAAATTCCAGTATGGAAAGTCCCGGTTTTTTTTAAATATTGGCATCATACAGCAAAACAAACTGCCTGTCGTTGATAATCCTTTTCTGTAGGCATATGCGATACACTCTCTGTTCTCTCGGAAGATCGGCATTTTAATCAACGCGTTGATAAAACTATTCTAAATAAAAACAGTCACTCTGCGACTTAAATTTGGCGGGAAATCTCCGCGTCGACGTCCGCAACTCGTAATCTAAATTTGGCGCACAATGGCAAACGGCGACGACAAAGTCGATGACGTCACCTAAAGTCGTCGTCGAGAAAGAAGTCATCGATTCATAAGCTCCCTACTAGTGATAGTTGACACTACGGCTGCCCCCGCTGTGTATATTGTCCGTCAATAGTATTCTTGGTCGTTGTGTAGCTCTTTGAAATATACTGATTTATAATGAAGATTTTCACACATATTCCATACAGTAGGTGAGAATAAAAACAGGAAACGCAAGGTTCCATGCACTGTTTTAGTTTGATTTTCACAGCTTTGATCTGAAAACATTCTCAGTTTCGGGAATAATTTATTCTAAACCATAAGAAAAGATTTAATTAGAAGTTGAATTTTTAGCTATTTTTCTTTCCCTTTTTACATACAGTTCATTTTATTTGCCGGAAATTAAGCCTTGGAAATTAAAAGGACTTTTGATCAATTCACGTTCGCACATCCTAGTCTTTTTTAAGACTTTATAGGAGAAGGAAATTTGGGAGCAGGGAATGAGTCAGCACAGAATTTGATTGTCGGCGAATTTCTGTAATCGTCCATCGTTCTGCTAGTGATAAGATAGCCGTTGATTCACTCGTCTTGCTTGTTTTATTCGCCCAAAGGGTTGGAGAAAGAGTGTCCGGCAAGGTTTCCAATAAAAGATTTNGGGGGGGGGGGGGGGGGGGGGGCATGGGGCGTTTGCTGTCTTTACGTCATCTTAACCGGCATCTCGTACTTGCGGGCGCGAACAATAGAAACGTCATCATTACCTACAGATTCCTCCCGGCCCCTGTTCAACTGACTGTATATTTCAACTGTAAGTATATACGCGCGAGTTACTTGAGTGACTCCTTGGGATTCGCCTTTTGGGCGAAATCGCTGCGGGCGCAATAATCGATCTCGTGTGAACTTTCAAAGCCGGCATGAAAGTGGCGCGTTCGTCGGGAAAAGCATCTTCAGTCTTTAGACCCTCGCTTGCCAAACAAACGTAATAAATCTCGTACGCAGTATCAATGACCAAATGGTTTTACCGACAGATGTAATTCATAGCAAGTCAAAATGGTTATGAAGAGATGATGTTTGGAATTAGCAGGGCCGATTATTTATGGCTATTTATGA